CAGCAGAGTTCATGTGTGTGCTTTGCTGTGGCTGGAGAGAGCTCACGCTGTCCCAGAGTGGCTCTCAACGAGGATTCAGTTTGTTTCTCATTTTGTTTTTTTGTATTTTGTATTGTTTGAACAGTGCTATTTAAAAAAAGTTTATATATTTAAACATATTACTATTATCAGGCTTTCTGCCAGGAACCAATCAGTCGACTTTAATTATTTAATTGCATCCCTGCATGAGAAGAGGAACAAGTTGCACAACCATCTATGTCAAGGTGCATAGGACTGAAGAGCAGCCAAGAATAAATTATGTGATGATGTGTTTGTCTTTACAAATCAAGTCAGCACTGTGCACCTCAGATATGATGGAGGGTTGTTTGTAAAAATGTTTACAAGTAATGCAGTAATTAACTGATGTAATAGAATATAGTCACAGCTTAATTAATTAATGAGGTGATTACAGTACCACCATCTGACACATGGAGTGATATGATATCAAAGCTGGTGATTGAGCTGACATCTGTGACGTGGAGATCATGGTGTATGGACTCATGGCCAGGTGAGCTGCCACTCATTATTCCCTGTGACTCTCCGATGAGGAGAATATGGAAATGAAGTGATGAAGATCTGACAATGACTTGTATTGTTCTGTTAAGCAATATCTCTGAAAAGCTAACTACAGCACTATTCAATGCACAAACCCCAGTGACCTGTGACCTCCCTGTTAAACAGTGAGAGGTAAGGAATAGGCAATTACTCTTAACAAATAATCAAAATATCACAAAGGCCAGTCAGTAGAGACAAGCAGTCAGAGAGAGACTTGATATTTTTTAACAACTGCAGTCATAATGTTAAATAGGGAGCTCCACACAGTCAAATCCACTTATCTGCAATATGTAAGAAGTGACACAAAGTACGTAAATTATGGTGTCTGAAAATGCTGATTACATAAAGACGATGTCTCTGGCTGGGGTATTAAATCAGAATCAGAAGTATTTTATTAATCACCGTAGGGAAATTCAAATGTTACAGAGCCCCTGAGAAAGAGGAGAAAGAGCAAAAGCAGGTATAAACATAGTAATATAAAAATCAAGTAAGGCTAAAAGTAATAAAAGATATACATATGTAGAAATAAAGACCAGGTATGTATAGATTTACATTTGCGCATGAGTGTAGGTTAACGTTAAAGTATACACAGTATACATTATTAATCTTTGTAATTTACAGTTTGTCATTGTCCTTCTTCTTCAAGCTGCTGCCCCAGCAGACAACAGCAAACATGATGGCACTGGACACAACAGACTCATAGAACATCCGCAGCATCGTCCTGTCTATGCTGAAGGACCTGAGCCGTCTCAGAAAATAGAGATGGCTAATAAATATTATATCTGTAGCTGCTCCTCTCCTCTAGAGACTTCTTCTCCACTGACTGTAATAATAGAATATTGTACATACTCAGCAGTTGCATATTCACACTGGCTTTTTTAATTGCTGTTCTTAAGCAAAAGAATGAAGCATCACATTCTTGCAAACTGCAAAAGGGATGTCATTTTCTTTATACATTTTCCTGTCACCAGAAGAGTTTACCTAAGTATTGGATGAAAAGTTGGATCTTAACCTCTCCAGGGGCTGTTTGAGGCTGGAGACACCAGATGGTGTGCCATACCTACAGAACAGAGCATGTACCCACAGTGCACAGAATAAAGAAGATATCACAGCATCTGAATCCAGTTGTTTTCATTATACAGAGACACTAAACGAAACTGACACAGAAACAAAACTGCTGCTGGAATATACAACATTGTAATGGTATTAGATTACTATCTTGATATATTACATTTATTCTGAGATTAAAAGTGGACTATCTCCTGAGAAGGGGCTACTTTAAAGAGGAAAGGAGGAATTTGTGATTTTTTTAGTTAATATGGAAGGAAAACTCACAGGGAAACAGCTAAAATAAATCAGGGGAAGTTGTAAAACTGTACCTAGGTAACTGGACAAGCAAGTCCAGTTCTATGCTATGTTCTGCTCATGTTCTATCAGTTGGTGGGTGCTGCTGCTATCTTTTATGCTGCTGTCTGCTGGGGAGGCAGCTTGAACCTATTCTCAATGTCCTTAACTGGTCACTTGGTTTAATCTTCATTATCACAGTGATGCTGATGATCTCTACACTAGCGAAATTGCGCCATCCCTTGGACATTTATTTCGAACCAGACAACATAATAAATATTTCATACTCTTACCATCTGTAAATAGTCTATCAAACCATCTGTCCACATTCACGAAAATATGTCTGGTAATAACATGAACGTAATCTATTTTGCATAACCATATTAATTAATAATATATGAATAACCAATTTGTGATTTTTGGCAAATTATCAGCGTGTGAGTAGAGCTGCAGCATTCACTCAGAGATAGAACATCACAGTTTCACTCTGATAGTTGAACCAAGACCAGATTCCGTTTGAGTGTGTGTGTGTGTGTGTGCATGCACATGTCTAGCCATAGTTATAAGGGCCAATTTTGGTTCAATACAATCATTGGCTGTTTGAGGCTTAAGACTTGGTTTTAGTGTAAGGTTTAGAATTAGGTTTAGGTTAGGGTTAGGCATTTAGTTGGGATGGTTAAAGGGATAATTCACAGAAAAATTCAAATTCACTCATTATACTCACCACATTGCCGATGGAGGGGTGGGTGAAGTGTTTGAGTCCACCAAACACTTTTGGAGTTTCAGGGGTAAACAGCATTGCAGTAGAATCCAATACAATTGAAGTAAATGGTGGCACTTCTTTAAACATAGAAAACAACAGAAGAAAACAAAACATGCCTCCATACTGCTCTTGTGGTGTCATCCAAGTATCTGTAAGCCCGGTGTGGTGTCTGAAATGCTATGTGTTGTCTTCCCTTTAAAGGAAGTGTATCCTTGGGTTTGAGGCCCCCAGCTCCTAAGAAAATCTGAGGAATTTTAGGTTGTTTGAGAATAACTGAATGTATACATTAGAGCATTAGACCACGGCTCTAACTGACACCCTAAATTTGAGCTGGTGCTATTCCCTTCCTGGCACCGGACAATCTGGAGGAAAGCCAGATGCATTTTCTTTAGGTTCACGCAAACAACCCTCCTATATAAACGAGGAGTTGAAGTTGCCTCGAGAGGAGATTTACATTGGCCCTGAATCTCTCTCCAGGCAGATTGCTTTGCTTGTATTGATACTGAACTTTTTGTATTAAACCTTTTTATACAATCAAGACGGTGTCATCGGAGATTCCTTCATCATCTTCACATCATCGCAACCCCAATATACGACACCGGCATTCAATTTAGCCTTAATGTCCTCTGATATTCTCTGTTCGCACATGGATCATATTTAGGCTGAAAACATGTTGTAACTGATAGAGTTTCCAGTCAAATCTGAATGTCGGGGCTTATGAGCACTTGGATGACACAACAGGAGCAGTATGAAGGCCTATTATGTTTTTTCAGTTGTTTTTTACACATGTGAAGACGTGGTCACCATTCACTTAGATTGTATTGGATTTGGCTGCAAAGCTGTTTACTCCTGAAACTCACACACTTCGGCGTAGAGAAGATTATGAGTGAATTTTCAGTTTTCTGTGAACTATCCCTTGAATGTTAAAAATTAAAACTGATTGCATGAGTATGTGGCAGGGTTATTATTGTTAACTAAAACTAGCAATGGAAAAATTAGTTAACTGAAATAAAAATAAAAACGACAATAACAAAAAACAAAAACAAAATAAAAACTACAATGAACAATGCAAAACGAACTAAAACTAAACTGAATTGCAGATAAATTCAGTTTCGTTGTCGTTTCGTTTTCTCCCTGGATTCCTGCCTGTCCTGCAGGTGATGGTTAAAGAAGGAAATTAAAGGACTTGATAAACCATATGGAGTGTCACACATTGTTTCATTCTTTTTCAGCTTCTACAAGTCACTTTCTCTTAATACCTGGAAAAACTATTTAAAAAAAACCCAAAAAACTATAGTAACCTCGGTGTGTGGTGAATCTGGTGCATTTATGTCAGACTGCGTGTCCTGCGGCGTTGTTACCCAGAGCAGCTGGATGTAGTCTCAGTGCTACGTTAGCCACAGTAGACTGTATATAAAGAGACATTAGCTCAGCTCGTCTTGTATCCATGGAAAGACCACAGGGACACAACAGGAACACTTCCCCCAATCGGGAGAGACGCGTGGGCGGCCCCGCGGCTCCGATTGGCCCGCTGCTTGTCACTCAGACGCGGTCGCACTGAGTGGAGGCTGGCGGGGAGCAGGGGCTGTGAGGGCGGGGGGGAGGAGCTGGGTGTTGCCTCGGTCTTGGAGCCAGACTCAGGATCCCCGGTTGAGACTCAGCCCAGTACCCTTCGCGGAGCCCCTCGCTGCACCGTCTAGTCAACTCTGCACCCAGTGTGTCTGTCTGAAATAACCATGGGAGTCGAAGGCTGCACCAAATGTATCAAGTACCTGCTCTTCTTCTTGAACTTCATCTTCTGGGTAAGCTGCCGTCCGCTTTTCTGTTGTTGTGCGCGGGGTTTTCACACGTTGGGGCTGTCGGTGCGGAGCAGCGCCGCCCCTCTTTGTGGTCAGCGGTCCGGGGATCGTCCAGGCGGCCGAGCCCTGGATGAATGGACGACGCCGAGACAACAACCATCTGTACATGTGTGCGACGTAGCCCTGGTAACGGTTCACAGTGATTCACCGTGGACACACGGACCCCGAAGAACCGCGCTACAGCCTCCTCTCCCCACTCCGGGAAAACATGGCGAAATTAGGCACGTCTAATAAAGTGGCTCAGAGGCGAGTGTGAGCTGATCACGTGGAGTGGTTGATGAATCACAATAAAATGAGAGTGATTCCAGCGGTCAAGTGTGATCATGTGTGTGTCTGTAACATAAACAGGCGCTTCAACAGTCTGGAGTTAAATCTCCATGGCGCATTTGGTAGTTTGTTCGGAGAGGAGCTTTGTTTGGACTAAAGTGTGTGTGTGTGTGTGTGTGTGTGTGTGTGTGTGTGTGTGTGTGTGTGTGTGTGTGTGTGTGAGTGAGAGAGAGTGAGTGTGTTGAAAAGGGGGGGATTCTTGGTGGTTTTCATTTGGTGAGTCAAGGCCCTGTGCTGGGTGATGGATCATGGAAACGTTTGTGGGTGTTAAGTTTTACTGTCCTTATGTAAGAGCTGCTGCTCACTGTGTTCTCAGACAGATCCTCATCTCACTTTCTCTCTTCCTTTGGTCCTTTTAACATTCAGCAGTCAGAGCCTTGATAGAAAACTGGGGCTTTTTCTCCTTCTTCTTCTTTTTTTTTTTTTAAAAGCTCATTGGCAGCCTGTCTAGAGACTGGTGCAAAACAGAGAGGACAACAAGTGTTGGGGGGGGGAGACCAAAACCACAGTGTTGTGTCAAGTTACCGGAAGATGGAACCACAAAAACGCCTTCCTTTGCTCTTCACCCTACCCAACCCCAACCCACAGCGGGTGCAGACAGGGGAGTACCCTGTTACCAGTGTAACAAATAGGGCTGAGCAGAATGCTTCAAAACGTTAACGCCTTAGTCACGGCCAAATCAAATCAGTATCCACATGCCCAGTGTTATTTAAATGATTATTAGATATGCACAACTACAAAAATGCCAATATCCAATTAAATAAGAGGAAGTAATTTACTGTGCGTCATCATTCATTTTTCTAATTAATCTCAGGGAAGGACATTTAATGTTTGTAATAGTTTTGAGTGTCATGTGGCGCAGTCATGTTCCAGGCACTGGCATTGGGACAGTGATTTGTGACCATGTGACAGTTTTACAAGTTAAAACTCTAAGTGCTAAAAAGATGTGGCAGATGTGCCGAAGGAATCAGGCAGATCTACAACCCGTTTAGCAAAAGTTGACTGGAAGACAAAACTAAGAATTGAACAAGTGATAAAAGAGGTGGACAACATTAGTGGATGTTGACAGCAGTGGAAGAGGCAGTGAGGCTCCACCCTTTAAGGAAAGCTAAGGCTGTTTAGAAGTCATTAGTTTTGCATTTGGCCGTAAACCAAAGATAACCGATAATAAGATCAACCTCATGATGGCTCTGGATGAAAATCTCACTGAGGTATAAGACTTTATCCTGAGAGGGACATGAATGTCTGTATCAAATTTCATGGCAGGCCACCCAATAGCTAATGCTTAAAGTCAAACCTATAGTGACGCTAAATAGAATAAAAAGCCTTTGTTGTCAATGTATACTGACTGATACAACCACACCAGTCAGTAGGATTCTAGCTGCTATGAATGTCTGAACCACATCTCGTGATGATCAATAATAATTACTTATATATAAATTGAAATGGTTTATATAATTTTATTTTCAAATTAACTTATTTCAGTCTTGAAGTGGCGTATAGATAAACAACATAAATTCTATACAGAGCAAGTTATATATTGTAGAATACAATTTGAAAAAAATACAAAAATTGTCAGTTAGTATGTTTTGTTTGCAACAGGTCACATACATGATCTGGATCAATCTGCCCTGCATACATCACCATTGTATTCAGAAAGATTGAGGCATTTTACAAGACATCAGTGTTAATACTTTTGTTAGAGCCACTGGCTGACATGTACCAGACAGGTCCCTCGGTTTAGAAATAGTTTCATTAGCAAATAAGGAAGCCAGTGGGGGGGAGTTTCGCAGTGCTGTCATCATCATGTTGCTACATGTGTTTGTTTGTGTGTTTTTAAACGCCCCGTGTTCTGGTACATTAACAAGAAGTGTGTGTTTCTTTGTCTGGATGTCCTGTTAAACAACCATAACATTTGCTGCATCATTCTGCCTTATTGTTTAAATATATTACTCTTTTAATTCAAGTAGTAGTATTTCCAACAAGCACATTAAAGGAAAATATGTTCGACAGTTTTAGGCTGACAGGAAATACTGTTACTTCCGATGACGTTCCCCCGACAGCCATTATCAGTGAAGAATGGCAGCTTAAGTGCTGGTGTTGAAAAACGACCAATTGGCTCTGTATTGCTCATTGCAGGACCATCCTTCAGTGGTCAGACCACAGCATTAATAATAAAGCTACAGTACCAACATTGTCTTGTATAGATAATGAAGGGAGAAAGCAACCAGGAATTTGCAGACTCTAGATCTTCCGACAGTCCCTTCAGTCTTGTGTTAGGCCACACAGTGTGCCCTCTCCTCTGGCTCCTGGAAGAAAAACAAGTAGAAAAGAGTCGACCAGAGCAGAATGAAATGTACTGGATTATGTCTGGTCTTTCCGAGAGCCTCGCCATCACGAGTCTGTTGGCTCAGGGACAACCTGGCACAGGCTTTGTTCAAAGTGAGGTGCCATAATGACAGAAGGTTTGCGTTCGGAACTTTTAAACTAGGTGAAAACCTTTAACTTTTTCTTGTTGCCTGCTGGTATGACAAGGGGGTGACTCCTCTTCCTCCTCTTCAAACTAACCACCTTTACGTTATCTTCCCTTTGAATCCATGTAGCCTGTTGCCGTGCTGACTGCTTTTGTTCCTGTGGAACCAGCAGGGGTGAGGTTGTCAGGTTTATTCAGCTTTTAGTTAGAGTTATTGCAATTAGGTTTCTTTAATTTCATCAGGCTATGTTTCTTACGTTGCTATTGTGTTTGCCATTAGCCCCCTGAATTGAATTCAATGCAATATTCATATAGCACCAAGTTTAGATAGTGTGGGTAGTAATCTGTCTCTGTGATTGCTTGGTTCATGGAGTTGATGGGCTTTCTCGTGTTGCGTGCTGGTTACTCTAAAGATTCATACAATATAGACCCTGATATGAAGTGTTAGCATTACAACTGGAAAGTGACCTTAATGTGATTGCATTACAGCATCCCTCTAGGTCCATCTTTCTTTTTAACACATTAGGCCTTTTAGTTTTATTGGCTGCTCTGAAGAGCTCTGTGAAAGGATCTGTCAGGGCAGACATGTCCAGTCCATCTGTAAAGATGCTTTGACTGCGATGTGCCGTTACTGAGCAGCCAACAGTGCAGGCTGCCTCTTTAAATGGGAGACCTCCTGTCTCTATAAATCACGCTGGACACTTAGAGGGTTAAGAGGCTACAGGGGTCGAAGTGGGGGTTGGTCGAGAGGAGGGGGGTGCCTCTGTGTGGTGGTATAGGAGTTTTATGGGAACAGCAGACAACGCCCACCCCCCACTCCCTCTCCTGCAGAATGCCCAGCATTCTACAACCCCCTGTACTCTGGCCTGTAGGCAGAAATAGACACTTGAGGGAGAGCTGGCAGGGCCACTTGGGCCACGCTGATGTCACACCGGGTGATTTTTTAAGAAGCAAGTCTATAGTTTCAGTATCATTTCACTGTTGCATGTAGTTAGTAGAGATATTCTGATACCAATACCAGTGTTGATAACGCCTCCAATACTGCAGAGACCACAAATCTATGTACCCATCTAATACCACGTCTTTAGAGTAAATTAGATTTACCTTGATAAACCTGCAATTTTATTTTCCAGGAAATCACTTCTTAGCCCACCCCAAATGACTGTACTCCCACTTACTGTTTTTAAGGTGACAGAGAAGAAGTGATTTCTGGTAGTGCAGCGTTAGCCGGAGCTAGCTCAAGTGTCAGCAATTTGGCAATATTTCACACTGGAGTTCCACAAGTAAAATGGCGACATGGACCGCATGAAAGACTTCAGTTTCGAGCTGTTTAAAGGAATAAATTGTTTTGTATTCATAAAATGATTCATTTATGCGGGGGTTCAGTTATGATTGTCAAAATAGATGATAAAAGAAGTCCTATGACATTTATTTCTTGTATGTATTTGTTTTTCAAAGGTTTTAATCTGAGTCAGGCCATACGACCATTATAGCAATCATCAATTCCATACAGAATCAGTACCATTCAACTATTTAAAAACAGTTCCCAACAAAATACATGTAAGTTCTGGTAAATCAGGTCAAGATGAGTACACATGTGATGAATAATTAATTATATAAAGTGTAAAGCTGACAATGAGTTAAAAAAAAGCAATCCTCAGAACTTTCCTGAAGACAGCTGGTATCTTTCATCAAATTGTTATATAAACAGAGGTAATGGTGATGTTGTATTTGTTTGTGACTCTTTTCCGCAGTGGGTTTGGTGTGCAAGTTAAAATTCATGGCTGCAGGATGAAGTATGTTAGACTGAATTATACCAAAATACTCGTGTGTCCAGCTGGGCGTGCATGTTTTCCTGTTTACACCTTGTTTCAGGCATGTTAGTATTCAAACTAAAAAGGGCACCACAAGGTTTGTGTGGACAGAATTTTAGTTTGTTTTCATACAAAAACGTAGTAGTACACAGTATTTAGATGTAGCCTTGAAGAGCAACTAATGAGTTCTGGAGATTCCCCACCAACAACTAACAACATTTACAATAAACGTGATCCCCCAGCTTGTTAAAGCCCCCCGCGTAGATGTCTGGGGTTAAGATTGGGTCATGTGTACAGCGTGTAAAACAAGAAGAGATTTAACCAGGAGAGATAGGTGAGAACACCTTTTTAGTTGAGTAATTTCAAATCAGATGAATTATTTTACGAAGCCTGAACAAGGTTTGACAGATTAGTCCTTTTCAACCGGCCATTTTCATGTCAGACAGTACAGACAAAATTTCCCACTAAGCTGTGCCAGTAAAGAAGCATGCACAATACCAGGGCTCTGTTTCTGAAGCCCGAGCTGAATGCAGCCATTATAAATGACATGAGTTTAATCTGCTTTTCCTGCTATGATATGTCAAAATATCTGCTACAAAAGGCACGTTGTTATAATACTTTATTACAATATGGGATTATAGGCTGAAACTAACTAACTAGTTTCAGTCAGATATCCATCTTCAGATTTTCAATTATTTAATTGTTTGGCCTCTATCAGTCAAGTAAAAGACAATATATCTAACGTCAGATTTTCAGCCCAGTTGACACTAGACTGGTTGTTGTCAGACTCAGTTGAAAACCCAGTGGTATTCAGTTTATTATCATAGAGGACTAAACATATTTACGACTGATAAGCTGTAACTGTGGTATTTTGATATGTAGTTCAAGTAATTGATCAAAAACTGTTGTCAAGACTGAGTGACCTGAAGTCGGTCTAAAGCAGTTGAAGATATGTGGTTCCAAAAGTTGCCAGTCCCCAAGAACCTAGATACCGTGACTATGTCTCAAAGGCCATCCTATGAGTTTGAGATTAACTTCTTTATTACTTTCTCATAGAAGCTACTGGCTGTTTATGTCTGTGTGAGTCACTCCCTTTTTAGTGTCCTTGAAGCTTCAACTAACTTGGAACCAGTTACATTTGTTGAAATTATGAATTTCAGTTGTGTCCTGCCTGGGTTCTCCCTCCATTCATCATTTATAAAAAATACTGTTACTTACACCTCTCAAAAAATCTGGTTTCATGTGCCCTCATGCATTTCAGTGACTCATCTCAGTGGTAATTCATTTGGTTAGTGGGTGGGGAGTTCTTTTTAAGTGTGCGTGTGTGTGCATGTGTTGAATTTTTACGCTCTTGCAAGTTATGGTGGTGTTATCTGGTTGCTAGGCAGCTGCTGGCCTTAGCTGTGGAATGAACCTCAGTTAGAGGAGGAGTATGGAGAAGGAGCGGGATGACTCGGCCTGTTTTTGTTCAGATCTTTTCACAGAAACAAGTTCTGGCTAGTTAAATTAACTTATTCTATTTGGCCACATTCTCTTTTTTGAATCCAAGCATCAAATGTATAATAAAAAACTTACTATGAATTCAAAATCATATGGAAGGGTGTCTGTTGTGCTGGCCAGTGGTTTATTTTACTTAGTTCAGTGTAGTGATGCTTGTTCCTTTGTGCCAGTTGTGGTGTATGCTAACTCTGGTTATATTTAGGATTTCTTTGTCTTAGGCTAAAAACAAATAAGCTCAGGAAGGCCCAAAGAACAATACGTTTCAGTAACAAAGTCAGACGCTGCAAAATGTGCAAGGTTTACCTGAGGAAACTATTTGGTAGATGATGTCAGGATATAAGTGAACAAAGAGTTCCTCATGTTGACTGCTTTTCTTGTAACCTAAGTGTAAATTTAAAAATCTTATACTTACAGTAGCCTCCAGGAGTAGTTAATCATCTTTGGTTCCCGTTCTTCCCCCAGAGTTAAAAATAAAGGTTTACTGAACTGAGAAGGTTTGCCAAACTTTGCCTTAAAATATTTGGACATGTTGTAGTTCTTGCATTTAGGAAATATGCATATTTGTTTCCTTCTAAGGATTAGATGAGAGGTTTAATACATCTTAAACATGTATGCACATGCTAGTGCCAGGTAGAGCTAAGGACCTATTAGCTTGGCTTAGTGTGAAAGCAGGAACAATGGAAACTGTTGGCCTGGTTGGTATTTTTAATGTGTATGCAAAATTATTTGTGCCAATTGTTAATGGAATTACTGCTCCCTATCACCACACGTCATCATGTTAAGATCACTGAAGAAGCATAGCTCAATAAACAAGTGTGTGTGGGGGGGATTATTTTACCGAGATTATTTTATAACACCCTCCCACCCCAATGGGCTGCAAGCGTTTGTGTCCCCTTGTCCCCCGTCCCTGCTTCACACAAGCTGACGTCACGTTGCGTCTTGTGTTTAGTGTGAACTATGTGCGCACAAAATGTAGAAATTGTGTTTAAATAGGTGTCTCCTGAATTTAAGAGTGACTCAAACAAACACAAATTAAACTTGAGTACTGTTCAGGTCTTTGGTGCTTGTGTTTATTTTTAAAGTGTAAAGTGAGCGCAGGTCAGCAGGAGNCACACATTCAAAGAAGTGTGATTTACACAAAATATCCCTAATTTCCTCATTTTCTCTGCTTGTGTGTCCTAAAGCCTCAATGCCGTGAGAAGAAATAACACAGAGAATGAGTGAAGCTGAGGGTTCTCTAGTCATTTCTTTGAGCACCCTGTAATGAGAATAAGTGAAGCTGTCCATACTTGGTGTTAAAAGGTGCATCACGCTGGTGGATACTAGACACCAAAACAACTTCATCTAGCAGGACAGTTGTGTGTCTGCTTTCACACCCTAAATTAACAGTAACTCAATATTCCTTTAACATCCAACTTGTGTGGCTTCCTTTGATATTATATTGATGAAGCCCTGACATGACAAGTCAATGTGGTAATTTGCTGAGCAGGGTTTGACAGACGAGACGAACAGAACCCTCAATTATTAAATGTAAAGAATTAAAAAACTAATTAAAAGATTTTATGGTGCGTATTATTTTTGGGAGTTAATACAATTTTGATGACATTTCACTTCATCATTTTCTTAAGTGCGGTGAGAAGATCTAACATGTTAATCAATTATCTTGACAGGTTTGTATTGCGTTTCTGTTTATCAGAATGTTGTGTAATTAAATGAAATGCACCGAATGAATTACATATTGTGTTGTATGTGTTAGCTTGCAGGAGGAGTAATCCTGGGCGTGGCCCTGTGGTTGAGACACGATCCCAAGACAAGCAGCCTGCTGGTGCTCGAAATTGATGGAGCCCATGCCCCCAGCACCTTCTACATCAGTACGTGTCTAATTCATACTTTCTCATTGCTTGTCTCCACACGGTTTCTTTCTCTAATGGAAAATCTCTTCTCAAACCCTGTGAACACTGTTCATTTAGTTCATTTGCAGTACTTCCGCATGAAGACACTGCTTTGTCTACTAAACAAACACAGTTATCATAGTTACTCTGTGGATTTAGTCAAATGAAATGTTCTCCCAGTTTATTTAGCTCTTTTAATGATGCTTTTAGTTAATACATTTAACTAATCTAGAGGGAACACTGCTTTATGGGTTTACAAAAACAAAGCCAAGGCTATCTTCTCACATCAACTCTTAAAACTCTGTATATCCGTCAACATGTGGGGCTGTGCTATTTAAGTTCAAAATACACGCCCATACAGTACATGTCCATATTAGGTTGTTCAAAACACTAATAAAAGTTTCAACATACAAGTTGTTTATCCTGACAGGTTTTCTGATCACCTCAACAGACCATACTTCCATATCAAAGCCATGTTAACCACATTCAAGCACATTTACTTTTCATTATATTCCTCATTGGATCCTCATTGATGAAAGATGTTGTAAACAGCGATAAGGAAACCTGCCATAGGAAGAACACAGCTGCACCCTGAAACCATTACTGGTACATTAAAACGATAGGTCTACATTATCAATTAATGACCATACGTGGATCTCCTTCATCTACAAGACTTTATTGATGAACATCACTGTGATATTCATTGGAATTGAACTTAATGTCACTTTTGTTTAAAGTGATAAATAGGTTAAATAGCAGTCATAGTATTGTATTTATGTATGTTAAGAGATTTAGTTTGTTGTAAATTACATGCATTCAATACAAAATCACATAATGAATTGAAACATTGACTCTTTGGTTGTGAGTTTGACCAAATGCAGCCAAACAAACAACTTCTTTGACCTGATGTCAGTTGGTGAGGACACTGACACCAAGTAAACATTGAGTAAATGATAAATAAGTTAGGCCACAGTGTGCATTAGGTTGCACAAACTCAAAGTTCACCGGCAGTCTTTCCCTTCTTCCAAAAGAAATGGATTAATCCTGCATGGCTGTTTGTGCAGCGCTTTGTTCATTACTGAAGTAACACAACTGATTGCCTGATCAATAAGAATTGGATCGGACAACAGCACATCGACCAGTCAATCGACCACAACAGAAAAAAGTTCTCCAGTTTGACACCAACATTTTCCCGCTCAATTTGCTTTGTGTCCACTTCTGCTAACAGTGAAGTTTTCTACACTGTTCACCCATGATAGAGCTGCACTATCTAACACTCAACAGCAACAGCAGTCACCACCTTTAAACTCTGAATCATATATCAGCAAGGATTATTTGGATCTGAAGCAACACCTGGTAACATTTCTTAGAAATGACGCCGTATAAACTGACAAAACATTGACCTGAAATTCATTATGCACGTACAGCACAGCAGCTGACCCCCAGGAACCTCAATGTGAGACTGTTAAACTGGTGTGAAAACCATTACTATTATGTGGGGCTGCCCCGCCTCAACCAGCTACTTGTGACCAGGTCTGACAGAGGACACACAGCTCATCATATGACTCTGTAAAAAAAAAAAACTTACACCCCCACGCAAAGTTAACACTCTCTTCAACTCTCAGAAACAGCATCAACATCTGCAGTTTCCTTCTGTTTCCGTTCACAGCCTGAGGCTTTATATAAATATTATATATAGAATTAGAGAAGTGAAAGGAGAGAGGAAAGGAAAATGCAGAATTGGTTTCATTAAACAAAATGAGCGAACCCGTCTGCTACTATTGCTACAGAAACATGACTCCATTAAGATGACATGTTATGCAGCAGTCTCTTCCAAGCTTCTGCTCCGCACAGTCTCTGCACAATCTCTCTGCTCTTCTAATCACATCGCCTGACAAACTCGCTACACACATAATTTAAGGACGACAGCTGTGCTATGATATTGGCTGTATTAACATGTAAGACGAGAGACATTCAGCATGAGACACCTCCTGAGTTACTGGAAATACTCTGTCACACACCCACTGATTCGCTGTGCATCATCTGGATAATGACCTGCTTTATTCACACATCAGCTCAATCAGACATTACACAGACTTTGTGTTCAGGAGCTGGAATGGGTAAAGTGCCTGGTTCACCTGAAATGAGTGTTGGTGTTCACATACATCTCCAACTGATGCCAAGAAAAGTTCAGGTGGCCCTTAGGGGCATTCATTTTTGACTTCAGCTGACATGATGATCAACGTAAACCGCCTGGGACTGCAGCAGGGGGTGAGAGTAAAAAGACAGAAGTCAAGCCAGCCAACAATGGCTGATCCCCCAGAGCCCTCATAATGTTGTAAATCATTTTCTATATATAAAAGTATGAAGACATTTTCAGGTCATACATAAAAGTAAGAAAACATCTAGGAAAAAGGATTAAAGTGTGTGAGTAAAAGGTCATGTTTTATTAGAACCACTGACTTGACAATAAAGAAATAAGGCCATTACTGTTTTTGAACTAAATGGAGTGAGAAACTTGGTTTTAAAATCACAGTGTTTGTACCTACATGTAAAAATGTGTTGCCAAAAGGAAGCTCAAATAAATTCCACCCCCTTTGGAAAAAGATCTGAGATAAAAGATCTTGATGAGAACAGTCTACATGTCACGTGTCTCAGCGAAGCATTAAGCCAAGTAGTACAAAATTCACTTGTCATAGAGGTGGTTCCTGCTGAAGGAGAGTGGCTGCAGCTGTCGTGCTCTTTCAAGGTTTTAATGTCAAATGTTATTGAAGCGTTCTGCAGCACTGGCGAAAGTTGAACACGGTTCCTAACCCGCATGCATTGTTTTAAGTTAAGCATTGATCACAATGTGTTTAGAGCCGTCCTGGCTGATACAGTAACACGTGGACAGCTAAGACACATTGAAGACTCATTTTAGATGTAATCACTCAGACCACGTTTGGAGGTGTTAGACACGTGGCCAGCTGATGTCCCCTGCGCATTCTAACACCAGGTGTGAGCTAACATATAGCTTTCTTAAATCTGTGAATGGTGGAAACTCCCAGCCCTTGGCCACTGTGACTCACTCACACACACACACTGACTCACTTTCGGTCCTGTAGTGCTGGACCGTTCGAAACAGTTGACTCGAGGGGATGTTTGGAACTTTGTTTTTGTCATTCTCTGAGGCTGCATAGCTGTGTTCATTGAAAAAACGGGGGAACAACTTAGGGACTTGCTCTGGAACAGCCTCAGTTATTGCATCCTACCCATTACATAAAGCCTCCCTCTCACTCCCAAGAAGGGGAGAAACAGCCCATTCGGTGCAGGAAAAAATTCCTCACTAGCCAACCCCCCCAGCCCCGGCCCCACCCCTCTTCTTCCCTCCTTTTTGAAAGTTTTCCTTTCCTTCACTCCGCTCGGTTTCTTTCCACTGTCGTTGCCCATTACTTCTCCATCTGGTTGTGGTTAGTGTTCCAGTCGCGCTGTCTCACTTCTCCTCATTTTTCCTTTAGTCCTTCCCTCCTCCTCCCTCCCTCTAACTGTGTCGGCCCTTTATTTCCCTCCCATCCCCTCCCCCCTGTCTTTGTCTCCTGCTGCCAGGAACTTTTCAATATGAACTTCTTCATCTTCTTTTCTTTTCTCTCACCCCAACCCACACACAGACAATTGCTAAATGGCAACCAGCGACCTTTTCTGAAGCGTTAGACATATGGTACATACACTTTTACCTACCCTCAGTATCGCTGAAATCAGTTCCCCAAAAAGTCCCAACTTAAAAACAACACAAATTCCGAGTATCAGTTGAAAAACCACAAAAAGTTTGTGGCATATTAAGCAAGTGTCACGACAATGGCGGTTGTCGCTAATCTTGAGCAAGGAAATGTTTCTGTTTTTATCAGAGAACAAGCCTGACTCAGTCGTGTGTCTGAAAACCAATACAAAGCTTCAATCGTGTAACTTCTCTCAGACCTAACATTTTTGGCACTTAATTCAAAAGATATGCCGCTTACAGTTCTGTATTTGACCTACAAATTTGTGTCCTCTAATATCTACGGTATTGTACAGAAGTTTAGTCAAAGCTATTTAATGACCTAATATTCTTTATGCCACGTCCTCATAATGAGGAATTAAAGGTATGAATATTATAAAACCTCCTACCTGTTACATGTAAATGTAATGTGTTCATGAGTTTGTTTGTTGAGAGTCTGAAGTCTTTCAGTGTCCTCAATGAAATACCATCTTAAAGGTCTATATTCACCGCAATGTCAAGTCAGAATTGTGGGCGTCTTTACATGGTTGGAATGCAGGGTACATAATTAGTTACCCAAATATAACAGGGAACAGGATGCAACAGAAAGGAAGGCTTCGTATAATAAACAATAGTCGGATGACTTCAGCAAAACAGCTAATTGCATCTTGGAAATATTTGGACATTCATTGTTATATTAGCTTCATCACCTTAGGGGAACCTACACCAAGGTGGTTGTGATTTCTCGCTCATTATAAAGATAAATGTTGTTTTCAACATTTTGATGAATCTCTAAAAATACAAATATACATTACAAATTAGTAACAGAATTATATATTTGTATTGATATATTTTTCTGTGTAATATATACATTTCTTCCCCATATGTGAGTGCAAACGCCATCCCTAAAAACATTGTGAAATTAAAAAAAAAAAGCTAAAAGTAGGCTTTGAGATATTTATCTTTCTTTTCTTTTTTCGCTGAAGAAAATCTGGAGATGTGGGTATCACTAGATCAGTTGCTTTCTCTATTTTTGTCGGAGTGAAATATCTTGATATTTTGAAATATTCCGATATATTGGATAAATTGCTATGACGTTTTTGGCAGACAATCACGGTCCCCAGAGCCTTACTTCCAGTGAGTTTGCTTTCCCTTGCGCTTAAAAATTGGGCCGAAGGTTTAATCTCCACAATTAAACTGCGATACAGATCGTGTCTTGATTTTGTTCCATCAACAAGTCAAAATGTGTTTGTCTGATACTTTGGTTTATCACTAAATACCTGCAAACCCATTGACATTCCTCGGCCTTAGCTGTAATTGGTGTTTAGTGATGTTGAGTAAATGTTAGCATTCTTTACTGAAAGCACCACTGTGCCTAAGTACAGCTTCGAAGAGCTGCTAACATGGCTGTAAACCCTCACTTAAGAGTTTAGTTCATTTCCAGCCTTTAAGAATCTCCATGAAGACCCATAATATACCAGAAGGTAGGAGATAGGTCTGCCATGGCAGACAGGGGAAAAGATGTGATGAATTACACAAACACACTTCAGTTGGCACACAATCTTCCCTGTAACTACATGTCTACACAGAAAGGGTTTCAGCAGGGGTTTGTTTTCATGTCACACACGTCTGTGGCCCTGTTGAGGGAGGTCACAAGTGGACAGCTCCAAGAATGCCTGGCATTAGAATCTGTCCCCAGTGATCATTTGTGGTTAGATCTCACTTGCCTGCTCTATACAAAAGACCAAATGATGACTGGTTTTTGCCAGTCTGACAGATGTACTGATATAATACTGTTTGTTCCTTATGAAACTGTAGCATGTCAGAGGATGTCAGCTGAGTAGCTGGTACTTCAGTTTGGCCCAGGGCACATTTTGGTTCGAAGAGCCCAAAGAATGTGACCACATACATCCCAGACCACCAAATGTACTAAGAGCTGTCTACTTGTGATCTGATCACTCAGGATAGATGAACAGGGCATGAAGTCTGTTTCCCTCAGTCACTTGTGTTTGTGTACTGGGCTCTGGCTACTTCTAAAGCACGGTTGACCTATGCCCAGTACACCACCTGAAAACATCTGCTAGTTAATGTGCTGCTTTCGCTGCGCCTCCTGGGCAGATCAAATGTAAGGCACACAAACGCACATCTCTGAACACAACCCTCTGTCTCCATTAAGTACAACCTCAAAATGGTGTGGGATTGTGGGGTTTCAGACTTCCCAGAAGCACTTTGGTTCAACAACACTTACACTATAAAGCTATAAAGATTAAAACCCTATACTGATAAAAATTCAAAATGTAAAAGTTTTGGAACAATTTCTTATCACTACTCACTTAATTCCTGATCGCACGTCATGTAAGTCTTTGTGTTTGCAACATCTCATTGCAATCTGCTGCTCCTCAGAATGAACAGGGGAGCTACAGAAGGCCTGAGGAATGGAAGCAGGGGTGGATCCATGAGAAGATTAAATAAAGATTTATGTAGAAGAAGAAATTTAAGTAAATGGAATTATTGCGAGCATAATTTTGAACGAGCAAATGTATTATACAGAAAGGACAGACGGGTGGTGGTGTAGCAAGAGAGGGAGAGGCTGAGATCGCCAAACAGCAATGGAAGACGACTGTGTCAGACTAAAGAGCCACAATGCAAGAGACTGAGGGAGCACTTGGTCAGACGCCAAGATATCAATTTATAAATTACCCTGAGTATGTGAGTGGCTCTGTGGGTAGAGAAGAGATGGGGGATGATGTATACGAGATACAAGAGCAGTTAGTGGTCTATAATCAAATTTTGTCTGAGCTGACAAGCAGGAGTAATGATGCTGAGACTGAACACGGCAGAGAGCGGCATTCACAACCTGATACACTGATGTCCACATTTGTACTTCAGTTATTCATTGTTCACCAGAAATGACTCAGATGGATAGAACTGAGTTGGGTATTTTGTTATTTTTGTAGCCCAAATGTGATCAATCTTAATAAAATAAAGAAAGACACAATGGAATAAATTATATGTAAAATATATGAATGAAATTATTGGTTGAGTTTAACAATATCTCAAATTATTGAAAACACCTTGAGTTCTATTATATATTTTTCTCTTCGTCATTGGCGTGTTTGCTTATTTGGCTGGCAGAAACAACACTCATTATCAGCTTACGCTCATATCTCACATTTCTGACCATTTTACCAGCACAGGAATGCACCACTAGCGTTTTAACTTCTCTCTCGGCTACACTGTGTTAGCAGTATGTTTTTTGTCATGTTTACTGCAATGAATGGAAACTAAACTACTGTGTGGAGAAACCTGTTAAACAATGTAGGAAAGTCTTGAGCCATCAAAGTTGCAGATTGGTGTGCCATTTTTTTTCCTACAGGTTTTCCAATAGAGACTACTAAACAAAGTCAGAAAGAATAAATATTTGTATCAAACTCTCTTATATGTGCGTTGAATTTATAGCAAAACCCAAAGAACAGCTATAATATAATACCTTGTATCGCCTCCCCAGTTTCCATCCTGCTCAAAATCAAAACAAAATATACAGATTGGGATTTACACCACATGTCTCCTGAGAAGAACACAACTAAGAGAAGATACTGATACTAAGAGACTGATGACCGTTTCTGAAGAGACATTTGAATTGATTCTCATGTCTTTATTCCCACACTGCACTCTCTTCATCAGCCATGAAATCAAATCCGCATGCATCTGATGGTACAACCCAGAGGGAAGGAAAAGAGAAAGTGAATGTGAATTATCGAGCATGCATACTTTGTATAAGAAAACACAGAACAGAACTGGATCATGACTCACTGGTTTCTTTGCACAGCTTCACTTGCAGTTTCCTTCCTTGTTATAGCTGATTACTACTTATCTCAGTAGCACAATGTGAAAGTTTCCAAAAACCTGTAAATGTATCTGTGTTGCCATGGATACTAATCAGTCAATGTTTTCTGTCCGTCTATCTTTTTGTCTGTCCAGGTGTCCACATCCTGATCGCTGTCGGTGCAGTGATGATGGTGGTTGGTTTCCTTGGTTGCTATGGTGCCATCCAGGAGTCTCAGTGTCTTTTGGGAACTGTGAGTCACAATCACACCTATCACATTTAAAGGTTCCCTGGAAAGTGACGCTCCTAGTAGATTCATGGAGTCGTTTATCAAAGGGTTTGTCCTGGTGGTGTTTTTTCTTTTCTAAGCTTCACTGGCCTCTCTGATATCCCTCATAATGCTACGGTGAAATGAGCATTATCTGAGGTTTTCCAGTTCCCCACCCTGCAAGTTGTTGTGATTAGGTCTTTAAAAGTACATTTTTAAACAGTGCAGAAGATAAAAATACTCAGCCGTGACGTTGATTGATTGTTATGCTCATTATATGTCTTGTATCATATTAAAAACATGTTTTACAGGGTTAAAATTAGATTATCTACATCAAGATATAATGGAGTTGGGGCATTTTACTGGGTCTGCAGTGTGGTGTCATAATGCAGACACTGTAGTGGACTAAATTGTACTATGACACATTATACATGACACCTGAGTGGATGCGTCACCCAATTTTAGCCCTATTTCTACTGTTTACTTTCAGAGAGACAAACCCTGAAAACACATTTGTCACCTGCTCACCATGGTGCTGTTAAACAACAAACATCATTTTTTTTTACACTATCTATGAGCCATACAGCACGGAAAGGCTGTGGTAGCAACGTGGGCCATTTATGTTGGTTCCAGACATCATACAGGCCTGTTGACTGTGTGCTGCACTTTAAAAAACACATATTTAGCAACTGACGTTTTTCCCACAGGCTCAGATACCTTTTTTGGCTGTTGTTCAGTTGTGCTTCCGGCTGCATGTGTTTTTGGGGCTGTTTTCACTGGGCTACACAATAGCCACAGACTGTGCAGGGGAACACCCTGCTCTGAAAGGAAAGGAAAGGGAAGGGAGGGGAGGTGTAGCCACAAAGCATTTGTTTTGTGTTTAGATGCTAGTGCGACATCTAGTGGCAATCAGTATGTCATTTATCACCTTTAAATAAAGCGGCTTTCCATTTTTGGATTTAGGGATGAAGTGTCGCTGGATGTTTCTTAGAGCTCAAGAATGCTCAAACACACACACTCTTTACAAGACACCTCCACCATTATCTCGTGTTTTTCTGTCCTCTCCTGCAGTTCTTCGCCTGCCTGGTCATCCTGTTCGCTTGTGAAGTTGCAGCTGGAATCTGGGGCTTCATGCACAAAGACACTGTAAGACTACAAACACGCTTAATGAAATAGCCATTCAACATTGAGCCCCAAAGAGCAGTAAATACAGCCGCTTTAGAAATAATTTACACCTTTTTCACTTTTCATACTGTTGATTTTATTTTAAAGGATTTGTCAGTGTTGCCCTGTAATGTACACTCAATTCCCACGATGACAAGCGGGCACATTTGAAAATAATTTATTTTAAAAATCAAAAACAAATCTCCCATTCGCAAAAGTATTCAGAGCATTGATTCAGTATTTTGTTGAGTCACTTGTCTGATCAGACCAGAGTGGTCATCCTTCCAGGAGGTTCCCTGAATCTCTGCAGAGAAAATCTGTTAGGGTGACGGTTCTTGGCCACCATCCAGTTTGGCTCGCCAATTTGAACCATTTGACAATGACTGACACCTCTGAGCTCCTCGAAAAACTCAAGGTGGTTTCATAACCTGTGCCTGACGACTCCTTTATCACAGAGGACTGAAGTAGATGGCTGTGTTTGTTTGTGTGATTTTGTCCTGACACGCCGTGTGAATTGGGGCACCTTTACACACAGGTTATTAGAAACATTCATTTCAGTTTATCACAGGTGAACATCAGTTAAGCTGTAGACACATAAATGACAAATAAACACAACAACGGGTTTAAATACTTTCGTAAATAATCAGTTCGGCAAATGTTTCCAAACATATGTTTTTACATCATCATAGAGATCAGTGGAAAACAGAAATTTTATACATGTAAAATGAAATTATCTCTCAGCTGTCCAGTG